AATGTATTATCACATAAAACAAAGCAACTTAAACAAATTACATTGAAAGAAATGTTTAATAAAAAAAACAAATAATATTAAGTTTTTTTTTTTTTTTTTTTTTTTTTGTTTTTTTTTTTTTTAATTGATATCTTTAGATCATAATTGTTCTTTATTTCATAAATTACGGTTTCATATTTTTAATTTTATACTTCTGCATGCCATCTTACCAGATTTAAATGATGATCTAAATCTGGAAAATCGATAATCCGGAATCGCCGAAGTCCCGACGAGTCCGGATTAAAGCTTTTTGACTGTATTACTATTTCCTATTGCCGCATAGCTAACCAGCAATATGTTTTAGGCTTTATTTGTTCTGCACTTAGTTACTATATTATAATTCATTAATCATTAGTATATTTTTATATACTGGATTCATTATATCAAATTTTGATGTCATATTTTATGAAACATTTTGTGTGCTTGAGGTAATCCAATCAGTTTTCCTACTCACTTAATTTCCTAATAACTAAATTTTCGCTCTCCCTATTGACTGTCTTGGTCGACGGCCGCGACTGCAAGCCTTTTCAGATGGGGGGGGATATCTGTAATATTTTTAAATCAACTGATAAATTAAATTCTAATAATATGCTTGATAATGTGTTGGCGATTCTCTACCTAAATTGCATCCCTGTTCTAAATTTTTGGCGAATCCTTTCTTTAGTATAAAATATATTAACCTGTTGGCGCCTGCCAAATCGCCAAACTCATAAACCTGTCATATTACATAAAGTCCTTAAGAACACTCCTGATGAGAAGATAGCGTCACCTCGTGATTTCAATTAATATCGCTGATTGGATGACCCTCGTAACGCACACATATGTATAAGTAGGGCTTCTGCTCAAGGTATGAAAACAACACTTGTGAGATGGATGCTAAAATAAACTTACCACTTTATATTCCAAAATTTGTCTCATTCCTGTTGCCCCAGCTGCACAAAACAAATAATGTATGAGAAATTACATTTCATATATTTTTTTAATTTTTAGCAGTGTACATGTGATTACATAGCAATTAATGACAGAATAGCAATTATTGACAGTAAAAGAAATGCCTTCTTGCCAAAAACAGTTTCTGGATGAGCATGTGAGTGCACAATACTGATACATAACAATTATAATGCGTGGCAAAAAGACAAGAACATGAACAGAAATAAATACATAACAGCAATAGTGAGATTGATCAAAACAAAAATTAATTCAGGTGACGTTGTACCGCAAGTGGCTTTTTGCGTTTTTTTTTTTTTTTTTTTTTTTTTTACTTTCGTAGTCATAATTCAATATAGGAATTGTGCTGTTTTGCACTTCTGGGATTTTCATAAAGAGTTCTTCAGAAATATTAAGTTTGCGGTGAATTGCCATGCCCTAAGCAAACATTGTCCGTAAAGCTTCATTTAATCAACTGGGTTCCTTTGAACACTTTCACATACTATTTTACTCAAAACATCATGCTACATTCCTTCCTTTATAAAACTGTTGTGCTCCTCCTAGTACTGAAATTTCTTTTCCCTGTCATGAAAAATCTGAATAATGCAATAAAAATTATTGTTCTTCTTGAATTATACTTTTTATAGAAACATTGGTCGCGAAGGGTTAGTTTAGCAAATATATTTTTTGTTATTAAAAAACAATTCAAAAAGAGAATTTTTAAGACAAGCAAAGCTTTAAATTATTTGTTACTTCTATAAACGGCAGTTCATGCCACCATTCTTTTGCTAAAAATAAACATTGCATGTAATGTCACAGTAACTGACCTATTTTTGCTTGGCATGGCTTCTGTCTTTCAGAATCCAGCTTTTACTGATATGCCATATAATTATGTGACTGTTACGGCTGTATTTTAATAGAATTGATAACGTCGCGCTAGTGTGATATATCAGTTATAATCAGTATTAGACACATCTTTTTAAAATTTTAAACATATTTTTAAGCAACTTAACACTTTTCACCATACTGAAACAGATGAACAATTCTGAACAATACTCTGGTATTCAAATTTGGAACATTCTTCTCATTTCCTAGCAACACATTTATAAAGGTCTAGCCTAAAAAAGCAATTTTCATTGGAAGAGACTGGTTATATATTAAGTAAAACGGTCACTCTCTTTCTCTTAGGCCCAGCAGCGGCAGAGCGGTAAAGTCACTGAGCACTGGTAGTTTGGTCCGAATTTCAAATTAAGCGAACGGACTGGCGGCGTGGGTGTTTTCTTGGTTTTCCCATGTGTGACGTGCATACGACCCAGTTTTCTGTAGAAAGTCTTCCACGAAGGTATCCCTCTCCTTAGGTAGATAGCCCTCTCTGGCTTTGACGTAATTATATAAATCAAACAAAACCCAACCTACTTCTGCTAGGTGGTCACAGGCCATGAGGCACAAATTCCTGGGCCGGAGCCCTATCTCAGATTAATAAATATACGATGCCTAATGTGTAAATAGCATTTCAGAAAAAAAAAAGTAGTTCCAGTGCATCAAGGAGCAGGGCGAATCACACTACTTCCTGACAGGGAAAGGAAATTAGTGGGAGAAGCGAAACGACTTTATACGAGAATTAATGTATTGTGAGCTGTTGAGCAAAGTAGGAAGGAAATGTGAAAGTATTAGAAACCTGAAAGCATTGGGAAGAGCAAGACTCATTGTCGGCTAAATGTCCTGTCAGTCATGTCATTGTCGGCTAACTGTCCCTGTCTGCTAAGTGTCCGTGTCAGCTAAATGTCCTGTCAGTTAAGTGTCTGCGATCGATATTTATTACTGAAATTTTTATGAAGATGATTAACACTTAGCTCTTTTGGTACTGCTACTGAAGCATTGCATAATAAGTAAACTACTTGTTCACCAACGTTTATAAATAACAGCTTTTTCTCCAATTCGCTATCAAAGTGCTAAGTTTTCTTTCTCTTTGAAAGCCTTAGCGTGTCACTTATATCAACAAGCATACCACAAAATATATATAAAATACTTAAAACGTTATTTTAAAACTCGACAAAAATGATGCAGTTTGAAGGACTCTACAGAGAACTTTTAGGAATTTATTTCAACTGAACTAATGACTGATGACTACATGGCCAGATGGATGATTCATCATTTGTTGTTGCTTATGCTCACTTGCCTGACATATAGTCAGCCCAAGCCCACGATATTTCTCGTGGCAAGGAGCGCTATATTGTGCCTGCCGTTGCCAACAGCCTTGAGCACCATTCTGTTGACAGTGCAATTTACAATTCCACCCCCAATTTTGATGGAGAGCACCCGTTTCATGAATAGAATTTTTTTATATACTCCAAATAAACTCACAGTGTGTTTTGTGGCTATGCTGGTAAACTTTATGATGTTTTCTTATGAGAATACATGAGTTTTAGCCTTGCCTCTTTCAACTCAACATTCAGGAACCTATCTACCCATGTATGAGTCTATTTTTATCTCTGTCAAGCTTGTTATAAGGTATTTCTCCAGCCTTCTTAGCAAGCCTTCATGGTGTAGTGATCTGCACGCTCAGCGCGTAATTAAGAGGTCCGCGGTTCAATTCCTGGCGAAGGCGCTGCTAATTTTTCATCTTGCCTGCTTCCAAAAAAATTCTAATGTCTCTACAACGTTAGGTAAGTAATTCAGCCTGTTTTGCAATTTGGTGGGAAATATGCGAATTAGAGCTTGTAAATTTGTTCTTTTAAGACTTCATCTAAAAATCTTTTACAAACATGTTATTTTTGCCCAGATTGTAACATGTCTTTATGTGTCATGCAGTGTTCCAAACTATGCAACACTGTTTCTAATATGAAATAATTTTTTGTCTATATTTCATATTCTATTTCTTTTTGATAATTTCTTTCACATTTTCTCTATAGAAGTAAATATTCAATTTATGACTAGTAAAATTCAGAATAATTTTGAGAATATTTTTTGTGTTCATTCTTATTGAAAACCTACTTACGAGTGAATTTGGTATAATTATTTACTTATTTTGTGTCATAAAAATAATAAAAAATACAAAAATTTTGGAACAATATTTCTGAAATCTTTGACACCTAATTGCATTAATTAAAAGTACATGGTAAAAAAAATTGGGCGCGGAGGGGGGGGGTAATTTTTGCATGGAAACTGAAAAATAAAGGATTAAAGAAGACTGGGTTTTATTTCTTAATCTGAACTGGCTCTCAAGCATTTTAATGTACTTTTATAAATCCAAAGGGGCTTTGTCTGTGAAGGACTATTGTTTTCGTTTTGCGATTTTGCGTTGATCACGATAATGCCGTTTACTCAAAACGTTTACAAAGTTAGAGTCCTGCATTATATTCAAAAATTAAACAATGAAAAATGCATAAAGGAGCATATTTTCAATTGTGATAAACAATGTACATAGAGCATCGAATTTTGAATGACTAACCTCTGTAAATAGGGCATGTGGAAAGCCAATTGAATTAGTTTTATTATCGATTCCTATTTGTAAATTGAAGCGAGTTTGATCAACAAACTGAAGGATTTCAAGTGAGCATGGCAATGTTGTACAGAAAAATATAGTTATCCAGGCATGAGATGGTATCAGAATTCTAAGATAGGCTCAGTTTTGAGATAGCGTCTGACGAATTTATGGTTTAAGTGCGAACAATGTGATATTTAATAAATAAAGGTAACAGACAAAATGCTAAAAAAATAACCTTTTAGGTTATATGCCAAAATATTCACCATCTAGCCATTAAGACTGATTGTCTTAAATTTTATTGAGCTGCAGTGGCGTAGCTAGGATGGGGTAAGGGGGACATCTGTCCCCAGGCGCAGCATTCAGGGGGCGCTAAATTGATGTTACAAAATTTTAGAATGAAATGTTTTCCGTTCTTGGCAAAGAAAATGAGGTGTAATATCTTCAGTTGTCCCCGGGTGCCGAAAGCCCTAGCTATGCCTCTGTTGAGCTGCATGTGCAAAAAATATAATATTCAAATGCAACATAAATAGTTAAAAATTCTTTTTAGGATTTAAAACCTGCTAATTTATTGATTTCTTCTACTGGGCATTTAAAAATTGCTGATTTTGGTCAAGCTGATTTATTCGGAAAAAAAGAGCAAAATTATAGTCATCAAGTTGCTACCAGGTAAAAATTTTTATTTACTGTTTAATTCATTTTGTATATAATTTAATTTGTATATGATGTGTTGAATAGCTTGTTGCCTGTTTATTTTTCAGGTGGTACAGGGCTCCTGAGTTATTATATGGATCACGTTCTTATAACGAAGCAGTTGATTTATGGTACATGTAGTATTTGAAACTAGTCCCTTATTTTAATAATCAGGAACAGTAAAGCAGTATCTTTTTTACATACTGGTTTTTGAATTTATCAGTACAGCAGTATTCAATGAAATATTGATGTATTATTTATTAGTTTATAAAACACTTTTTTTATGTATTTTATACATTTTAAAAATTAGAATTTTGGTTCTGTTTTAGATTCTTAAAAATAAATAAATAAAGTAGTTTTAGTATTGAATTTAAGATATAAACTTTTTTATTTTTATTCACTGTACAGGTCTTTCTGGTTCTCATGCTCAATGTTTCAAATTGCATTTGCTACTTTAGGTGGAGTGTCTAAAGGGATAATAATGTATCTTATTTTCCTTGAGGTCAACACACCTTATTCTGCTATTCTCGTTAAAACTAGAATTAAATGCTTCACTATGGCCTTCTTTATTTCTTCACTGCAGATTTTCTATTTTATGTATTATTTAGGATGGCACAACAGTGGTCATGTGATGTTTTGACAGAAAGATCTTTAGAGATGTTAAGCTCTCAGAAAAGGATGGCTGCAAAGTGAGGCAACTTATAAAGGCCAATTGGAGCATCAGTGTTTAAAAATTCAGGTCACAGTGCATTACTAATGCTCTCATCTGACATGGTTATGTACTTTTGTGCATATAAAAGTCTGTAACAGTCATCTTACCAGACTGCCATTGCTCACCAGACAAAGCATTCTATGTGGGCATGAGAACTTGTGAGTTAGATTTCTAAGAACTGACAAAAAATGGATTCGGAAAGCAAACAAATATGTAGGCTTATTTCTGAACTGCATTTAGGGGATGACAAATCATCTCACTTATTGAGAGAGAGAATTGGGTGAAAATGTATAACTGACGACTTTTTAAAATCATCATGGCTGCAAAGGTTACTTTCCGAGGTGCACGGCATTTTGTCAACTAGTTCTGAATCCTTAGATATTTGGCAAAAATGACTGATAAGATATCTGAAGTGCGCATGCCAACAAACAATTGCGTGTTCGCTATCCAGGCAGCTACGACGAGTTCCACCAGGGATCTGAACAATTCTTCCTCCCTCCCTTGGAGATCTTAAGGCCTTAAGAAGCGAAATCGCAGCTCTAAGTAAACAAGTTAAGCAACTATGCTGTGGAAAAATAAGAAATAAATTCGCTCAGAATCTCATAATAGACCATGTAGTTTTTCACATGGTCATTCTCGTGAGCACATTAACAATTATTGTTATTTTCATTTGTGATTTGGTAATAATGCACAAAAATGCCAAGAACCTTGTTCTTTTTCTCAGAATACTACAAATCATAAAAACTAACAGTAGCGGCTGCCAATTGAAACTTGTCGACAGACGCATTCATGTCATTTACATGTTTACGATAATAGATTAAATTAAAAATTTTTAATCGATTCGGGCTCAAGTGTCTCATGCATCCCACTGCCTTGTAAACTTAAGAAACTTCATCCTGATTCACTACAATTACTTGCTGTGAATAATTCCAGAATTTCTACATATGAAGCAAAATTATTAAATGTGAATTTAGAATTTAGACGAAATTTTTAATCGCCGATGTACAGGCGCATATAATAGGAGCTGATTTTTCAAGACATTTTGATCTTTTAATAGATTTAAAACATGGTAGATTTAAAACATAATACTACAATATTAACTTGAATTGGTTTCCTTTCCGATTCTGAAAATATTTTTCGGTAAAGCTAATCTCGGGTGATTGATTCACCATATCACAGGGTCTTGAAAGACTTTCCGGACTTATTGAAATTAAAATCTGATTTGGGTGGAGTAAAGCATATCACAGTCCATTACATCGAAACAAACAGTCTTCCTGTGCATAGTTAAACCACGTAGATTAAGCCCTAAGTTATATGAAGCAGTAAAAAAAGAATTCCCACCTCTTCATGTCGTTTCTAAAAGCTCGGGCGATATACAGCCAGTAGGAGACTACCAAAATTTAAACACATGTAACAAACCCAACAGATATCCTATCCTGCATTTACAAGACTTTAATAATATGCTTAGCAGAAAGAAAATTTTTTTCAAAAATCGATATCGTTCAGGCATATCATCATATATCTGTTCATCCAGAACATATACTGAAAACTGCAGTTTGCACACCATTTGGGCTGTCTGAATTTCTGTTTTTAAATTTTGGACTGTGCGGAGCAGCTCCAACCTTTCAAAGGTTTATGAACAAAATTCTTGGGGACCTAACATTTCCCTATATCTACTTAGATGATATTTTGATGTTAAGTGTTACAGAAGACAATCGTAAATCACACTTGCATACTGCTTTTGGAAAATTAACTTCATACGGATTGACAGTTAAAGCTGCGAAATGTGTTTTTGGCATTCCCGAAATATCTTTCTTAGGATATTTAATGAATAAAAATGGTACCAAGCCTCTGCCAAACAAAGTTGAACCGATACTTAACTACGCACTTCCTAAAACAGTAAAAGATTTGCAGAGCTTTTTAGGATTTTTATGGTCAGTTTTTACCTACTGTAGCCCAGAATCAGGTACATTTAAGTTCCTATTTAATAAAAGGAAACTTAACTAAGAAAAATGACAGAATTTGTCTCTGAGGAAGCACAAAACGAATTTCAAAATTATAAACAGTTAATCATGAATGCAGTTCCTTTAGCGCACCCATAGAAAGATACTCACTTGGTTTTACAGGTCGATGCATCAGACTTTTCAACTTATTCTCAATGCAAAAATTGATGATATTTTTAACGTAACTCATCTTATGTTTTTTGGAATTAATATTTAAAAATAGGTATCTAAAACCCAGGTTCCCCAATGCCACAATTGCCAGAAATGACATCATTCTTCAGAAAATTGTGACGTTGAACCTTGGTGCGTTAAATATGCATTCCATCATAGAACTGGCAATTATGACCATCAGGGGCACCTGTATACCCCCAAGTGTGCAAATTGTCTAGGCCCCCATGTGGCCTCATATAGGGGTTACCCTAGGTTCCCATCATACAAGAAACACATTCACAAATCTACCGTAAAACCAGGTTTTAGTTATGCCCAAGCTGCAGATCTGGCTAGCACTGGTAATCCTAACCCGAACATTCGTGTAAACAGCTAACAACCACCACCCTAGCAGGTCTATTCCAGATAATACTCCAAATAATACCAACAACGGATCAGACATCTCTGAACTGTTAAATGTTATGAAAGAAGTTCAGGACCTGTTTGGGTTCCAAATTGGCAGGATCATACAAATCGATAAGAGCAAAATTCCCGAACTTAATAAATGTACAAACTTGTTAGATAAAATGCAGGTCCTACACCTCGTCCTTGAGGAGTTATCTCAACTGTCAAATGCTAATTAATCTCCCACTTGCAATTCACCTTTAATTACTGTTATTCCCTCAGTTACTACATTCCACCTACTGTGCATCATCCCTTGCTTTCCATAATTCTTTAGAGTCCTATGATACATTATTTTGATATTCTTTATTCCCTAACTATGTTGACACTTTCATTTTTAATAATTAATTTTTAGTTACTGGTGTTTTAATTTTCAAATTTTTAATTATCGATGCTAGCTTGATATTTCTACCTGTTACTCTGCACTTACTGGTCAAATGTCACGATTTACCTCGTCAGGAAGCAATCATTGGCATTTCTTTTTAACTCTACTGCTTATTGTACTTCATCTCCTTGGACTATTTCTACTTACACTTAGTACCCGCCTGATTGGCTGGAGCCACAGGCAGCGGGATGTTTTGATTTGCTACCTGTACTGTTAGTTGGATTTTCGCACTTATACGCCATTACTGACTTTCTCTCATTGCTCTGTGTTGTTATATGGAGACTATGAACTTCGCAACTGTATATGTTAGAAAATCTTCAACTCAATTATCCTGTGATAGCGCTACGCGCGGCTGCCTGAGTCGGGACTCCAAAGGAACGCCTGAGCCGACTTCGTGATTGGTGGAATGCTATCACAGTTAGTTGATGGAAATTTACAGCCTCTCACATTTTTCTCTTGAAAGCTTTTTCAAGCAGAAAGGAACTTTAACGCTTAGGATCGGGAGTTATTTGCAGCTTATGCTGCTATTAGACATTTTAAACATATGTTGATAGCACGGAATTTTTCTTTAATCACTGGATACAAGCCGCTTATGCATGCATTTTGACAGTGTTAGGATAAGTGTTTACCTTGTCAGGCTAGGCAGTTAGATTTTATCTCCCTACTCACCACCACAAATCCACCATATAAAAGGATCAGAGAGTATAGCTGCCAACGCTATTTCACACATAGCAGCAAAAAGCATGCTTAGCCCTATCAACTATGAGGAAATTGCTAACATGCAACAAATTGATCCAGAATTACAAATTTTACTTAAAGATTCAAAATACCTAACTGTAGCTTACTGATATATTGCGATTTGTCAACAGGTGCTTCCCGCCTTTACATTCCCCCGGCATTCTATGAGAAAACTTTTACAACACTGCGCAATTTTTCTCACCCTGTCATTCGTGCATCAACAAAGTTAAAATGTTCTTGGTTTATTTGGTCTTCCATCCGTAAAGATTTTGAAAACTGGGTGCAATAGTGCATTCCATGTCATAAGGCAAAAGTAAAAGCAAGATTTACTAGAACCCCGTTAATGAAATTTCCAGACCAATCACAGATCATGTCCACCTTCACCACCTTGTTGGTCCGCTACCTCCTTTCTACAATAATTATTACTTTTTAACTATGATGGATAAGTTTACTAAATGGCCCAAAGCAGTACCCATACCAGACATAATTGCATGCACAGTGGCACAGGCTTTCTACACCATTAGATTACTTGATTTGGTTGTCTGGCTGTTATTACTACTGACCAAGAGTGACAGTTTGAAAACGGCTTATTTCGAGCTCTTTCACATTTGTTGGAAATCGAAAGGATCAGGATGTCTCCGTATCACCCATAAGCAAATGGACTTATCGAGGAGTTTCAGTGTCCTTTGAAAGCTGCCTTAAAAGCGTATAATACCAGTCACTAGGCGGCGGCCCTTACATCACTCGTGATGGGTTTCCACTCCGCTCTCAAGGAGGGCATAGGGGCAACCACTTCTGAACTTGTGTACGAAAAGTTTATTCGTCTCCCAGGAGAATCTTTTGATCTGATACCTACAGACTCATTCCCCAAACAATTTATGGAGGACTTAAAATCTCACTTTGCTAATGTCTGCCCGACCATGACTTCCAGCCATGGCCAGCGAACCTGTTTCGTTCACATCCTCACCTTAACAATAATCCACACATGTGTTTGTTTGACACGTCAGAGTTAGAAAGCCAATCCAAGCTCCTTGCAATGGATCATTTAAATTGCTAGCAAGACAAGGTAAAACATTTGATCTCAAAATAAAAGGAATTAAGCGAACAATCTCCATAGATAGACTGAAACCCGCTTTTATAATCATGGGTTCTTCTCAAGTTGTTTTCCAGAATGTGAAAAAACCCTCAGACATCTGTATTACCCATTCTGGATGATTGATCGAACCCCCGCATCGTTATGTCACATTTCATTGCGGAGGGAGTATGCAGCGGCATTTTCAACAGGCGATGTAAACTCAAAACTGTACAGAGAACCACCAGTTGGAGGAAGACAGTCTAAACCTGTATGGTAACCTTACAGGCTGATGGAGAGAGACGAGTTTTTTCCCGGCAGTCTGTGCTTTACCAGGACATGTGAACCTCAGTATCCATGCCTGTGTTGGGCTGTTCTCTGTTCTTTTCAGTCCGTTATAGTACTGCCAACTCTGGCAATTACGTTATTTTTTCTTATTAAATTTGATTAGTAATTGCTTATCAGTCTCATCTTAATTAAGATTGCTGTTGTCTATTTAATTTTATTGATACCCACTCTTACCTCAAGTTCTTCTTGGTTTATGCATGTAGTGTTATGCATAATTAATTAATCAACCATGCTTAATGCTGATAATATTTTAATCCCGATAAAAATTGACTCTGTTAGATGTGCTGATATTGGTAAAATTAGTAAATCTATCTTAAAGTTTTGCTCTTAATGTTATAAATACAGCTGGTGTTTGTATAAAGTATGAAATAATGTAAAGATTTATTTTCAGTCTCAAAGGAGAAACAGAAAGCATTCAACTGAAATACTTTGCAGGACTAGTATTTATTTAACAAATTTCAGGATCTTTGCATTCAGAAAGTCATAAATTCAAGTTCATTATAATAATCAGGCTTTTCGCATATTTGCTTGGATATATGTCAGTTTCAAAATACAGTTAAGTGATTTTATATTTTTCAGTGTGTTTTTCATTTCAGAAAAAAAAAAAAAATCCCTCTTTTTTTTTGTGTGTGTGTATTGGTTGGCAGAAGTTTTGACGGGAACTTTTGCAGAACAGCATTTTGGAGTGCACAGTAAGAAATATCTGTGCCTAGTATAGGTATTTCTTACTGTGTGCGCTTACTTAATTTTTAAATGTGCTTATTTTTTTCCTCATTTAAACTTCTCAATTTATCTTGTAGAACTAGCAGTCTGACCGAGGCCTGCAAATAGTAGCTTTTGTTTTGAGAAAAATGTGCATAATTTATCAATTGATTTAAAAGTGAATTGCATTTTTTATCGCATTTTTATTAAGTTTTATAGATATTTTCGTTTGCTTATTTGACTTAGAATCTCTTCTTCATTCCTCATATGTAAAAACTTTAAACTTGCTCTAATATTACAGCCAGGGCTTTATGAAAAGCCATCAGGAGCAGTGAACAAAAATATATGAATAAAATAAGAATAAATAAAACAATAAATAATTAATTTAATAATTAAAATAAGATATAAACTGTTAAAAGTGTTAATGAAGAAGGGCTAAATTAATTTAAAGTAAGTAGAAAATTAAAATACCATAAAATTGAATAAAAATGAAAAAATTAATAATAAATCTTTAAAAATATCATAAAAATTAATGAAATAATAAAGCAGACGAATTGTGGTTAAATTAACAGAAATAAAATATGATACTAAGAGACAAATGTTGAATATTTTGAGCAATATTCTTTGCGTGCAGAGCAAATTGCATCTTTGTTTTGGTTTCTGATTTGTTTAAAGACATTCTGACCAGATGAGTGCAGCTCATAAAAATTCCTTTTCTTGATGGGTTTGCATTTGTGTGTGGAGGATTTTCTTTCTCGTCTGCTCAAATTTACAGAGATTGCTCTTCCTAAAGAAATTGGGGCATCCGCTTAATATCTTATACCAGCATTAGTTTTAATAATTGCTGAAAAATGTTTTATTAATAACAGAATTCTGTGTTAAAATTGTGATTAATTTGCTTAACAAAGAACTGGAGCTCATCTTATTGGAGCTTCAGTGCATTCTAGTTAGAATTAGGCTTTTATTCAAAAATTGAAATATACCAGAAGTAGGCTAAGGCTGAATTTAAGCCTTGATTATAATAAGGCTTTTCATGTCTTAAAATAGATACTTATAACCCACCTTATAACACAAATCTATTCTTAGTGTTTGTATTTATTCTTGTAGTATTTAAAAACTGGCCAGGCTAAAAGGAAAAACTTTTCTTTAAACTATTAACTAACTAAATTTCTTGCATTGCATAGTTTGAAAATATATTGTGTTTTTATATTTACTACACATGTCATTTAAGGTTATCAGTTTTATTTAATTTTCTTTTTGAGAGAAAGATGGAAAATTAAAGAATTTCTGTTGAATAGCTTTTTTAAAAGCACTTCTGTTTGATTTCAGTCATGCTTCAAATTTCTGGAAAAGCACTCCTCTTAATTTTAAAATTTAATATATTTTTATATGGAACTTTGAAAGAAACTGAGAAATAAGCAATCTAAGTTAAATGTACAGTGTAATGTAAACCTCAAAGCAGAAAACTTATCTTTAAATTCAAAAGAAAACAAAAAGGTGATAAAAATGACCACATGTAACTGTGTGAAATTCATCGAATGTGGCATGTTGTGAGAGGAAAGGAGAAATTCCATTTGTCCATGTAAATTATTTTGTCAACTGATGCTGTAACTTGATAGTATACCCAGTTCCTGAAGCAGGGAAAAAGAAAACTCAGCAGCTTGCAATTAATTTTACTTTAAATACCTGATTCTAAATAAATGATTATTTGATTGCAAAGCTGTATGTTTAAAATAATAAGGATTTTGGTGTACACTTAGTTGAAAAATAACTCCTTTTTCTTAATTTTAAATTTATAAGCATGCACTCTGTACTCTGAGATGCCCTCGTTTAACATCTTATTGAATGAATACTGAAGGTGCTCAGACCTTTTTAAAGGAAAATATAAACTACTAAGTAGCTAGTTGTATCTCACTGTATATAAAATTCAAGATACAAAAATTTCAGGTTTTTAGAATTTCAGAATCTTGAAATAGTTTTTTTGCTACTTACAAAAACTATAGCAATTTTTATGTCATCTAGGGATGCCATACATTTTAAACATGCTAAGAAACCTATGAAAAAGCATGTCAAAATAAATTATTACTGAAATATGTTCAAAATAATCATGATTAGAACTTTATAAGAAAGAAACAATAAATATCTTCAGGAAAATTTATTTATGTTTGAAAATAAAATTTCAAATCAAAGAAAGTTTATGAAACCATTGTTCAAGTGTCTAATGTAAAATTTTAATCTAAAAGATTCAATTTCTTTCATTTCAGTTGTTTTATAAAATTGCCTTGACATTTTAAATATTTAAATAGTTTTAATTCGCTTTCTAAATGTTTTGTAAATAGTAGTAATTGATATCTAATACAGAACTTAATATTTTTAGGGCTGTTGGATGTATATTTGGTGAAATGCTGAACAAATTTCCTCTGTTTAGGGTTAGTTAATTTTATGCACGTACTTATTTCAATTAATAATTCATAATGATATTTACTGATGGCTATCTAAAAATGCCAGATTTTTTAAAAAAAATTTTATTGAATGGTATAAGTTGGTGTTTATTGTAGTTTGCCTTCACGATGGAAAAGTTTATCTTAATGAAAGATTTGCTTTTTATAAATAACATTATACTGAAGCAGTTTTGTAATGACTGACTAATAATTTCATGTTTCACTATTCTAAAATGAAATTAGGATGGAAGTTCATTTTCAATTTCTTAATAAATGTATTTTTTTAAAATTTTCTAAAAAAGAAAATTTCTGTTCATTATATTTTGTGATCTCTTTTTTTATACTGCACTTTACTATTATTTTTGCGGTAGTTTTTTATTTATTTATATTTTTTATAAATTTCTCGTACATTTTATGACTATCTGTGAGAACAATTCTGCAAAGAAAAATACAATTTGTTAACTAGTTAAACATAAATAGTATATCAAGATCAATGTAAAAATTCTCTTCCCCCAAATTGCTTCTGTAAACCATATTTTTTTTTTTTTTTTTTTTTTTTTTTTTCTCATCTTACAATCGCCATTGCAGACTGGAAATAATATTTTAAAATTTTCTTAGTTAGTTTGTTGTTGTTTTAAGAGTTTGTTTAGAAAACTGCTCTTGTTGATTGTAGCGAATTCGCGGATTAGCTTTCTTTAGCTGTTTTGAATTAAGTTCTTTTGAACGTTTCAGTAGTTAAAAGATAACTACTGTGAGATATTGTAATACTACACGATAATTTGAGGAAATTTAAGCATATTTGGGGTGATAATAATAAATTTTCTTCATTTTCCATCAGACTTGTGCATTCATTTTGTAACGAACCCATACGCACGCAACAATTTTTCATCGAACAAATAAACAAGCAAATAAATGTCATAGATTATAATTTTTTTTACTCATTGTACTCTTCAGATGCTTTGTGATGCACAAAGAGAGATTTTTGTGAAACCAAATAATAATATTAAAAGCAACAACAATGATAATAAATCTAAATATGCTTTTAAAATTATTTACTATTATGCTTACACCTCCTTTATTTAAAAAACTGAATTGGTGCATTTTAATATTCCGCAGGCTGGTTTTCTACAGGCAGTATTAATGTATTTACTTGTAATTCTTCACAGCTTTTAATAAATTTTATTATAAAAAATTAAAATTTTCATGGCATGTAGTTTTAACAATTTTTAATGCCCTGATCTTGTCTTTAACTGTAGAAAAACTTACTTATTTTTAATGTATAAAAGGAGTATTTAAAAATCTCACCTGAAACTGTTAAAATGCCAGTCATCCATTTATTATGCACATTTTCATATTTACTATGTACACTATGTAGGCAAAGATGGAACCTATATATAAGGGATATTTCTTCAGTTTCATGGTTCCTTTAAGTTATTGACAGTGTACCAGGTGAACTGTTTTTACCAGTATGTGTAGTTCGTGGCGATAACTGTAGCATAGAGTCAGCATATTTCAAATAGGAATGAGCCAAGTGAATGCTTTATTTTTTTGGGGGGAGGAGGAAGGATGCTGGCCATGGGGAAGAGAAAGTTTACCATTTGTCTTTTCAGTTGCATACATCTTCTCTCTACAGCTTTATATTAATTTTAATTATTTTTGCTTTCCTTATTATTTCTTTTGTATTCTCTGTCAATTTTATTTTCTATTTATTCTTATTTTTGTTCTACTTTGATAATCATCAGTTTTAAAAAATGCTCTTCCAATTAAAGAAAGGACAACTTTTAAAATCTCAGGGATGTTAAATTGTGCACAGTGTTGCTGAATTTTGCTATTCTGAAGTTTCAGTAAATTCTTTAGTGGTTTCTTCCCCTCAATCTTTGAAACGAATTTTTCAAGCAACTGGAATATCGTATAAAATTAATGAAATTAGGAATAAAGTATCAACAGTGGCTGAAGAGAAACTTCTAAATGCTTTTGGAAAGAACTGCAAAAGGCCCACTGATCAAACCCACAAAATTGATAATTTTGCTAAGTATATTATGCGGCAGACAGTACTACAAGACCTATATATCAAAAAGAAAGAAGTGCCATCTGTACAGAAATCTCTGCACATATTGAAGGAAAAACTAAAATTCCATGACAAGAAGACTCTGTGTGAACTTCTGCATTCAATTAATATTTGCTGGAACAAATGCATTAATAAAAGGAAAATTATCATCAAAAGATCTGATATTCTATTTATAGAGGAATAATTAATTGCAAGACATGAGGAAACTCAGGGAAAGTGGATACCACATGATTTACATTGACGAAATTTAGGTCGATAATAATCTAATATTCAAGAAAACTTGGCGGGATGAGTCGATTTTGGATGCACAAATAAATGTTAATTAAAAAAATAGCCTGATTGTTGTAAACTCTTCTGAAGGATTTGTTACAAATGCTCTACTTGTATACAAAGCATAAGCTCAAAGCAGGGGTTACCATGGGAATAATAAATTATGAAAATTTCAAGAAATGAATGATAGAACGCTTCTTCCAAATAAATAACCCCAAAATGTGGTATGCATGGAAAATTTTCTAAATCCCTTGAAAATTGAAGATTCGACAACCACGAAATATGCTATAAAGCAAATGATGTCTGATAAGGAAGGGGATATATTGCAACCTTGAAATGTGAAAAAGCAGAACTGTTTACCTTGGTAAAGCTCAATCATCTATAAAATTAACAACATTATAAAAGAAAGTGAGCATCATGTTGTACTGCTCTCTCCTTACCACTATAGTCTAAACACAATAGAATGTGTTTGATAATCAGTTAAAAGACTGATCAGAGAGCAACTGATGATTTAATCTCGGAAAATTTGAAAGTTCATTGCATAAGGCTATAGTGGCATCACTTTTCAAAAATGGAAAGCATCTTGCAGCCATGTGGAAAACCAGAAATTTTTTATTGGAAGAAGGATGTATTTCTGAAAGAGTTAATGACTCAGACTGGTGGCAGTGATTTTGATAACAGTTCAAAAGCAGCAGTGATTTGAATGATTTTTTAAACATTAAACTTCTATGAATACATTTAATGTTAACTTGTTTTTGCCAAAATAGATAAAATTACTAAAGCAAGTAAGCCTGAATGCTGGTAGTGTGACTTGCCTCAAATCCTGGCAAACAGGTTGGCTCATGCCTTTTGTTTAAGTGGCATGTTCATGCTTTTTTCCTGTGTGTAATGAGCTAGTTACCCTTAGAAAGTCCTCCATGAAAGCATGCTGATAGCTCTTGTGTGCTTTCACACAATGGAAAACCATGCCAAGTCTCCCAAATATTAAGAGAAAACTGGAGAGAAGAAATATTCAAATTGTGGCTGCTAAGAACTTCTTGGATGATATTTCAATATTCAGTATTTCCTTTGCCAAAATATGAACGAAAGAATATCAAAAGTGGACTATGATCCTTTGGCAGAGGTGATACCCTTCTTGTTGATAATAAGGAGCTCTGTATTGTTTTATCTTCCATTATTTTGTTCTTGAGGAGCCACAAGCCATGGCATGCTTTGTGTAAAAATGAATTTTTAATCATTAGCAAAAATTAGAAATATTTCATTTTATTATAAAATTATTAATGCAGAATTATGTTAATGCAACAAAGCTAACTGTACCTATATAGCGAAGTTTTGTATAATTGTACGCCTCTAATGCACATTATAAATATAAATAGGTTGTTGAATAATTTAAAAAAAAAACCTTAATTTTATTTTGATTTTAATGTTTTATTATGTTACTTGTTGTTACAGTGTCTTTAAAAATAGGCATTAAAATGAGAATCAAGCTTGATAATTAAAATAAAAGCAGTTTTGACTTGAGCTCAATTCCTTCACTCTCCTCCCGTGTTGAAACTACAGCTTTTGATTTTGTATGAACTTAAGGTTTGAGAAGAGAAATAATGTTTCCAAAACGTATTTATTGAGAGTGTGGTATATTAATGAACATTTTTACTTTCTAACGATTCCTTATAAAAATTCAATTGAATATTCAGTTTTGAAAATTTGATGTTATAATAATGTCATAACAAATAATTTACTTAAAGCTAAAGTCAAAAAACAGATATCACCAGTTCTTCATTAAATGTGCCAAGATGGCAAAGTGAAAAGCAATTCTTCAAGACACTTCTATTTAAAATGGGTTAGCACTGATTTCTCTGGCGACTGACAGCTGTAAGCTATCTGGCAAGAGATCTTATGATAGACAAACTTTATATAACTTCAGGATAATATGTGCATTTATATGGACATTGTTAGTACTTTACAGTATACCAGAAAACAATTACCGTGCATTGTTTATGCTTCTGATCTGAATTAGATCAAATCTACAAATTCATTGTGATAAAGAGGACTTTTCTGTTCCTCTTAAATGATAGAAAAAAGATTCTGATCCAAAATCATCTTGCTTAATTGCTATATACTAAAATTTTCAGTTACAGTATTGAATGTGAATTCATTTATTATTAAAGACAACACATATTTTCAATAAGTAGTTAAAAAAACCATAATTTACTTACAAGTGAATGCATCTGTACAGTATATCTTTAAAGCTTCAGGTAAAAATAAACGAGCATAATTTTGTTAAATACCTGTAGATGACTAAAGTTATATGGATTGTGGTGAAGCACAGAAAAAGTTATCTGCCTAAGAAGATATGCTTTTGTGGTGGACTTTCTAAGGGAAACTTGCTGATATTCACATGGCAGTATCAAAAGCCCTATTCAAGCAGTTTGTTCACTGAGATTTAAACCAGAGTCAGACTAATAATGTTAGTAATGATATTTTTCAGCTGTTGGTGGACACTGAATGCAGAAAAATAGCTTTATATTCCATCTGAAATCATCCTGAATAATTATGGTGTGAACTCAAATTTGCAGCAATGATATTAACTATGAAATAGGCCTTTATTAAATATAACCTGTATTTTCAATAAATAGTCAAAATGTTTTTG